TCTGTAGCTATCTCATGTTGGGACCCTCCTCCAGTGTCTGTTCTCTCTTACTCCCGCAACACCTCTGACTTTCAGGTGGCATTCTTTTGCCTCTTAAGCCTTGAACTACAATATCCCACTCACTGACTTCAACCTCCCACCTCATCACTTCTTTCCCTTAATCCTAGTACACATTTTCTTTGATTTCAATAAAACCTCCAGTGCCTTGGCTTGTCCATTTCCTTTCAATTTTCAGTTAATACCATCCTTTATCTTTTTTTTCCTGAGCACAAGCTCAGATTATATTTTCCTTTTTTCCTTGTAGTTAGGTGAGCCCAAATGACTGAGTTCTGGTTAACAGAATATAAACTGAAGTGATGTGTACCACTTACAGGCTAGTCCTTAAAAACCTTCCTCAGGCTTCTGTCTCTTTCCCATCTGCTGGAAGAGTGAAGAGGAGTCCAAAGTCCAGTTCATTACTGACTACATGAAGCAAGATGCCCCTTGTCTTGATGACCTTCACTGGATTGTTACAGCAGCATGAATTAAACTTTTATTATGCTAAACTACTAAAATTCTGGGGTTGTTACTTGCTTGACTTATCCTGATTAATACATCAATCAAAACCATTCATATTAAATTATACAGTCCTATACTTAAACCTGTCTCTCTTCAAAACTTTAACTCTTGACCTCACCTGATGCCGTCCTAGAAAAACCGCAGCTCAGGATATCCTTGTAATTATCTGCGTTCTCAGCTTTATGCTACCTTCCCGTTGTAGAGTAGAAGAGCAATTTAAAAGGCCAACAGGACTGGTGCTATCACTGGACTCTTAGATGGTCCCCAACACTGCACAGGATCTTCCACAACCCAACTATCTGACAACTTCCCCCAAGTTTCCTGCACTCCCAGAAACATCTAATACTACTGACCATTCATTCCCTCCTTGAAACTTCTCTCCCCTTAGCTTTCATTCTGGTACGCTCCAAGTTTTCCTACCTCTCTCTTCTCTTTATTAGACTCTTTTCAATTCCTCATTCTGCTTCAGTTCTTCTTTCTCCATCATCCTTTAAATCCAATATTTCTTTCTATGTTCTTATCCTTCAGAGGTGTTCTCATCTACTCTCATGGCTTCAGCCACCATGTATATATTGACAACTGTAAGACTGTTCCTCATTCTGCTTCAGTTCTTCTTTCTCCATCATCCTTTAAATCCAATATTTCTTTCTATGTTCTTATCCTTCGGAGGTGTTCTCATCTACTCTCATGGCTTCAGCCACCATGTATATATTGACAACTGTAAGACTTATATCTGCAGTCTACATGAGTCCTGAGCCTCAAACCTAGTGATGTCTCCAACAGGCACAACCATATCCAAAACTGAAATCAGGACCTTCTTCTCCCACCTCCCCTGACACCTGCTCCTCCTTCTGCACTTCTGTTGTCAGTGGATCCACTTACTGTAAGCCTGGGAGGATGACTTAACCTTCCAACAACTAATTATAACCCTTCAATTCTAACCTCTAAATATATTTTGAATCTGTCCCTTCTCCTACATACCTCCTACTATCAACATTTGTATTTTTCTCACCTGAATTACTTCAAAAACATCAATTTCTATACCTCTAGTTTTACTCCTCCAAACCATCCCATTCAGCTGACACACAGATCTTTTCAACATAAAAATAAGTTGACATCCCTTTCCTATTGTAAATCCTTCAATGGATTTCCAGTACTTTTGGAAAGAATAGTTCCCTGTCTTTCTGGACTCTAGACACTTTTATCCAACTTCCCACTGGATATTTTTACTCTAATCTCCCATGGTGACTCACACTCAACTAAGCTATCCTTCCTGACTCTGGATCCAAATCTGACTCTCTCACTATGTTCCTTTCTCCATGAAGGGCAACACCATCTTACCTGTGCCTAAATCAGAAATCTAGATGGCACTGCAGACAATCTCCAGTTCTCTCCCCAAAATCCAGTTCATCACAGATCCTTTGGATTCTCTCTACTTACCAACTCTAGATTCATCGTCTTCTCCTCAAATCCAGTACAAATACCCAAGCCCAGATCACCATAGTTTCTTGTCTACAGCAGCCTTCTAACTAGTCTCCTTTTTCCAGTCTTGTCTCCCTTTCAAAGCCTTTCTCCACTCCATAGGCAGAATAATCTTTCTAAAATGTTAATATGATTGTGCTTAAAACCTTACAATGATACTCCACTGCTTTCAGCAACACAAAAATAGCTTTAAAGGATCTTAGGTCCAGTGAAGGAAGACAAAAAGATAATAAATAAATGAGACTGTTTTGAATAATAAAATGTAATAGTGTAGGACATTGAGGAGGGAGGGTGACTTTAGATCCAACAGCTGGCCTCTTGCAGAAGTGATGTTTCAGTGAGACCTGAAGGCTCAGAAGGAGCCATGCCTTGGAAACAAACGTAAGTAAATACTATCATCCCTACTGGGCTGTGAGCTCCCTGAGAGCTCTAAACACAGTGCTCTAAACACCCACCACAGTTTTGGGCACATGCAGGTTTCAAGTATATGTTTAATGAGTGAAGGGATGAATGAAGTCTAAATTTGAATTTTTGAGCAGTCCAACTTCAGGTGAATAGTGTGCTCACATTTTTTGGACATGTGTTTTAACATCAACTTGTAGAACTATTAAGATTTCTAGGCAGAGAAAAATGAATGGGATTTAGACTAAAGAAAAGTTTTGCTTTCCTTAAATCCTTCTAAAATATTTCAGAACAGATGCTGCACAGCAATTGTTTAAAACCAGGAGCCCTGAGAGGATATTAAAATGATTAACCACTTGCTGGAATACTGCAGGGTGTTTCAGCCCCACCAACTATAAAAGCCAGACTTCATCAGAAGGCTGGGCTTCCAGGCTCCCTGGCTTTGAGCCTCTTGACAGGAAAAACTGGTTTCATACAAACCCAAATCAACATCAGATACTCAGATTCATAAAGGAAACAATTTCAATTCATTATGGCTCATTTCTGCTAAGAAGGAAAAACTATAAAGAACCCCTTAAAATATACTGTATCGTTTATATATTATTGAATTTGACTAGAAAATAAGATACTCAGGTTCATAATCCCTTAGTTGCAAATTGAAAGTTTGTTGGGTTTTTTTTTTATAACAAATTTGGCATCCAAACCTGACCTGATGTGAGAGGATTTATTTTTTTCATTTAGTCTAACTATTGTCACTATTCATTTGTTTCACTGTAGAAACAGAATGTGTCTTATTACAGGTGCTGCCTTCAACCCCACAGGAATGTTGGTTAATATATGACAGAGTTATATACCGTTTTTCTAAAATCCAAAAATTTCTGATCTTCAAGGCATGTCTGGCCCCAAGGCGTTTGGATAAGAGATCTATATTCTATTATAACACACCCAATTCTACAATTTTGAGTTATAAAACTTCCACAATGTGCGGGCTTTGAAGTACTCAGCAAAACTGAAGTCTCAGAAACACAATTAGTATGATTTTAGCATTTTAATATATGACAGAGTTATATACCGTTTTTCTAAAATCCAAAAATTTCTGATCTTCAAGGCATGTCTGGCCCCAAGGCGTTTGGATAAGGGATCTATATTCTATTATAACACACCCAATTCTACAATTTTGAGTTATAAAACTTCCACAATGTGTGGGCTTTGAAGTACTCAGCAAAACTGAAGTCTCAGAAACACAATTAGTATGATTTTAGCATTTGGAAGTAATATCACTGAAAGCTGTTCCAAGTTTCCTTTCAGATCTTATTTATAGTACACATTTGTGCCATTATACTATTGCTTTTCCTATATGTATATACTTCTATGAGTTAGAAATGGTTCTGACCATGAGGAAACTTTTATAGGTAAATCCTTTATACTACACCTGGCTATAATCCAGACTTTGCAGAGATAAGAATAATTTGCCATAGCTTCTAATTTTCCCAAGTGTTTCAACATTCTCATTTTATAACTTTTAAATTTTTCTTATACTTATTATTGTTTCTCCTAAGTTTCAAGAAGCAGTACCTACGTTCTGAGAACAAGGTTTCTACTCTTTACAGAGCATGTATCTCGTAATCAGCAGCAAATCTCAGTATGTGTATTACTTGATACAATCACCCTGCAGCAATATTTTCTATTCTTCCTATCAGACCTCTGAGCAAAATCAGGCTCGATATGTCCAAGGCCACATGGTTTCTAAGTGGCAGAACAGAATCTGAACCCAGGAATGTCCCCAAAATCTGTATCTTCCAAAACATCATGGGGCAAATAATTGAACCATGTTCTAATCTCACTCTCAACTTGTGCACAGTTGGAAGAATAAGGCTGCTTCATCCACGGTAGAAAGGAGAGTACAATTTTTTTCTAAATGCCTAGGCTAGTCATTTGGCAGTGTTTTTACACTTCCATAAAATGAAAATATAGTGTCTGATTTCAAAAGATTCAACTCTATACCCATATAAAATGTCAATCAATGTAATTTTGCTTTTTGTTTTATTATTATTTTTAAAAAATCAATACAAATACTTGGAGTTGTGTAGGCTTATCAACAAACACAGCAAAATCAGATGTTCAATATCACCCACCTTTTAGAAGCATCATCTATATTTATTGAAAATATTATCACACAAGGGGAAAAGAAAGCCTTACGCCTTATAACAACATAGCATAAAAGGACAGAGATGAAGATCATTAATGATTTTAATTATTTTAAGTCCCATTAAAATTAGAGAAATATCAAAGCACCCACAGTGTTAAGGGTATATTATTACAGCATTTTTAGAGTTTACTAGTTCATACCTTTCAATCACAGCAAGTTATTAGCAGTGAAGGGATGAACCCTATTAAAAGGATTTTTACTTCAGTGATAGGGTGTTATAAACAAGACAATCTAAGTTTTTAAAAAATTAGTAGCAAGCGCTAGTTGAGTTAATCAGTTAAAGACAAACCGTGCCCTTGGGAAGCTAAATGAAAAAGCAACAGTAAAGCTTACAGAACTTAGCTCGTACAATTTGCCTTGAAGGCGGAAGATTGGTTCCCTGAAATAGCAAAGAATTATATGCTTTAGTTCAGAAAAAAAGTTTTTAAAATAAAGTCTGTTATTACCTCTTCTCCTTTCAAAACAATGGGAAAAAAATCTATAGCAGAGGTTTCAATTTGTTCAATAATTGTACCTCTGAATTTAAAAACAAAACTATAAAATCATCATTGTTTTGACTTGAAAAGAAATAACAATGCAAATATTCATTATCACATAAAACATAAAAGAAACAGCAAACTGTTGGAGTTAATACAATCTGCAGAGCGCTGTTAGTCAGAGACAGCTGATCAGCCCCAAAACACAAAAACTCAAAAGATCAGATCTTCTTAGGAATTAACATCTTCATTAACCAACAGGAATTTAGTGTGGCAGCCATTAAATTCAACAACTGCCTTCTTTGTGAGCTGTCCCTTCACTGTTACCAAGCTGTGCAAATGTGTGAACTAGTCAGCAGCACCAGAAAGCTCATGCAACTACTCATCATGTTTTAACCTTGAACTGCCTCACAGATTCAAAGTTAAATTAAGTTCAGGGTAATGTAAGCAAGCAAAAGAAATCACAAGGAGTCACACTTGAAATGCGGAGCAAGTAGCAGAAAAGTTATTTCAAATAAATTATTACGGTTAACTGCATAAAATAGACAAAAAGAAGGCAATTCACTCCAAAAACTTTAAAAGCAAAATTGAAACAAAACAAAAAGTTGCATTTCAAGCAAAATTTGCACATGATTAATTTGCAATAAAAAAAATAGCCAATCAAGCGATTTAGTTCAAATTCCTTGGGTGCATGCATGCATTGATTCTCTTATACAAATCCTACCTGATTTCCAATTGTGGTTTTCTTGTGAACCTGACTGCTCCTCTGCTGAGCACTGAAAAAAGCAAAGGAAAGCAACACTGAAGAAATTCATAAGATTTTTTTCTGAACAAGTAACAGATACTAAAACACATACAGGCTTTTAAGAAAAAAAAATCAACAACTGAGGCAGAGCTAATATCAAAAATTCAGGTCAGTTTAATTCTGGAAGCAAAACCAACTCAGTGGGACTTCAAGTAGTAATTAACAATCACAAATGAAAAATACATCACCACCACAGGAAGACAAGCTACAATGCTGCATTATTAACAATAATGTATTTGTCCCATCCTACATGTATACAGAATAGCTGTAATGAAAATTAAGTTAATGCTTATATATATACCATGTTCTAAGTGCTTTGTAGATATTAGTGATTTTAATTCTGACAACAATCCTACGAGGCAGTTACTATTATTCTTCTCATTTTACAGATGGGGAGAGTGAGTTACTGAGAAGCTAAGGGACTTTCCCAAAGTTACTGAGTGCGTAAGTGGTGGTAGCAAGCAGTAAGACTCCATATCACAAACTCTTTGTAATATTATCTTATCTCATTGCTTCAAATTCTGCTATATTCTTACAATTTCCTTAGTGCATCTCTATCTTCCTAACTCTGGACTCAGACCTGTTTTTGACAACTCAACATCTCCACTTGGGTGTCTAATGGGCATCTCATACTTAATGGGCATCTCAAAACTGAAGTTCTGATATCCTCCCTAAAACCTGCTCTACCCATACAGTCTTTCCCTACTTAATTAGTGGCAATTCCATACAGTACTGACAAGTTCTTAGGACAAAATCTTTGACTCTTCTTTCCCTCACATTCCATATCCAATCATCAGCAAATGCTGCTGATTTTATCTTTTCATGATGTATTCAAAATTCAACCATTTTATTACCACTTCCACTGCTACCACCTTGGTCCAAGCCACCGTCCTCTCTCATCTGGATTACTGCAATCATTTACTTCTGGTCTCTGCTTCCACACTTGACCCCTGAAGTCTACTCTCAACACAGAAGCCAGAGGGATCCTTTTAAAAGATAATCATGTCACTTCCTGCTCAAAATCCTTTACTGCCATCAACCCCATTTCACTCAAAAGTAAAAACCAAAGTTCTTACAAGGGTGCATAAGGCCCTACCCAACTAACCCCACCCTCTTCCCCTTTGACTCTCTCCTCCTACCCTGCACCTGGTTCACTGGAGAGTTCTAGCCACACAGCCTCTGCTCTTTTTCTTTTTTTTTTTTTTTGGTAAATATGGTTGTTATATTTTCTTCCCCCCACCCCACCCCCAGTTTTTTTTGTGTGTGTTTGTGGGTGAATTAATTTGTTTATTTTTTTAGCTCCCACCAATAAGTGAGAACATGTGGTATTTCTTTTTCTCTGCCTGACTCGTTTCACTTAATATTATTCTTTCAAGGTCCATCCATGTTGTTGCAAATGGTAGTATTTCATTCGTTTTTATAGCTGAGTAATATTCCATTGTGTATATATACCACATTTTCCGTATCCACTCATCCGATGATGGACATTTGGGCTGATTCCAGCTCTTGGCTATTGTGAAGAGTGCTGCAATGAACATTGGGGTACAGGTATACCTTTGACTTGATGATTTCCATTCCTTTGGATATATTCCCAGCAGTGGGATAGCTGGGTCATATGGCAGATCTATCTGCAACTGTTTGAGGAATCTCCATACCATTTTCCATAGAGGCTGCACCATTTTGCAGTCCCACCAACAATGTAGGAGAGTTCCTTTTTCTCCGCAACCTCGCCAGCATTTATCGTTCAAAGTCTTTTGGATTTTAGCCATCCTAACTGGGGTGAGATGGTATCTCAGTGTTGTTTTGATTTGCATTTCCCGGATGCTGAGTGATGTTGATTTCTAACCCACCCAGCACACTCCCACCTTGGAGCCTTTATGCTACCTAGCTGCCTAGAATATGCTTCCCACATATGTCTGCATGGCTTCTGGCATCTCCTTCAAGTCTTTGCTCAAGTTTATCTTTTCAGTGAGGCCTAACCTGACCACCCTAGTTAAAACTGCATCACTCTAGGTCTCTCATCCCCTTTACCCTGCTCTATTTTCTTCTACGGTATTTTTCACCTTCCAACATATTATACAGTTTGTTTATTTATTGTGTTTTTCTACCTGATTTCCAATTGTGGTTTTCTTGTGAACCTGACTGCTCCTCTGCTGAGCACTGAGAAAAGCAAAGGAAAGCAGTGCTGAAGAAATCCATAAGAATGTAAGCTTCTTGTGAGCAGGGATTTGTGCTTGTTTTGTTCACTGATATGTCACCAAGGCCTATAAAGGACCTGCCATACCACTGGCTTCAACAAATATCTGTTGAATGAAAAGTCCAGTGAGGCTGATGCCATTATAACCCCCAGTTTACATATGAGCATGGAAGGTTAAAAGCCAGATCTGACTCTGACAATTTAATCCCAGAACCCACATTTAAGTACTATATTATCCTATCCCTCAAAAGGATGAAGGCTTCCTTTTGGTGGATCCATGAATAAACACCTATTGATATAAGAAATCACAACTCATTTTTATTATTATAGGAAGACGAGCAATACTCAACCCTCTAACGGGTTGTTTAATAGTTTATAGAAGCTGTTATGGGGATCAATAGAATAGTCTAAAATAGAGAAAAGATAGAGGAAAACCATCAGTCAACTGTTTAAAGTGAGGGGATGTTATGGTTCAGTAGAAAGTTAGAAATCAACACCACACTTAGAACACTTCTTCAAAATAGCAGACTTTTATCATCTCCCCTGATGTATTTAAGCTGCTTCTCTCCACTCAAACTCATGAAAAACCACACACTATGTTTAATTGAGGGTGGGTGAGGGTTGGGAGTTGAAATGTCACACTGTATTTGGTTGCTAAGGATATTTTGTGTATATTCCTGTTTTTCAATTTCTAATTTACTAATTTCAGCTTCTTCCTTCGTTTTTTGTTGTAATTTTCCCAGTTTTTAGTTAAATCCTTAACTCCTTAATCTCTTAATCAACCATTTATCTGAAAAACCTAAATCCACAGTATTCAGGTTTTTATACGCGAGGTTGTGAAAGAGGTGACGTTTGTGTCTGTCTGCGACAGGATCCTATGTGCCCTTGCTGCCCTCTGGCTACCCACCACGTCCTGGCACATGAAGTGTCTCAAGCATGGGCTTTAGGGCTTCGGATCTCTTCTGTACTTACTTTCTCCACTAAACGTCACCTTTCTGGGGCCCTCCAGGCTCTTCTCTCTTTGGGGATGAAACGGGTAAACTACTGTTGTAACGTGATCATGCCTTCTTTCATGGCTCATGGTTCTCTCTTCCAAGCACCATGATTGTGTATTAGGGTTTTCAAGGGAAATTTTTCTAAATAAAGCACTGACTAGTGTCAATAACTTCAAAACTGTGATAGACCCACAGGTGTTTACTTTAGACAAATTATTGGGCACCCTAAAATTATGTACTGGTACCCTTAAAATTACATAAGGAAAAAAAAACTGAATATAAAGTAAAAAGCACAGGGACTGCTGATAACTCCTGTGCTACCTTAGGCAAAGACTGTAACCTAAATAGACCTCAGTTTCTCAGCTGGAAGCACAGACTTTAACTTAAATGGAACTCAGTTTCTCAGCTGTAAAGCGTGTGTGTGTGTGCATGCATGCATGTGTGTGTGTGCGTGTGTGGGTGAGTTATAAGAGAGACAGACAGACAGACAAAAACAGAGAAAGAGAGAAGAGGTGGGAACTGGACTAGATGTTTCTTAGGTTCCTTTTAGATCTAGGATTCCTTGAGGTGCAAAGTTATGCTCAGAAGCTTATTAGCTACACTAGATAAGGAGAATTTCCACTGATAGAGTCTCCATCTTCAAAACGATGCTTATCTAGGGTCTACCACTTATAAGAATATGCAGGAGGAAAAACATATTTATCTTATAAGCCAATCTCAAATATTAGAGTTAGAACAAACACTAATTTACCTTTACTTTCCACCTAAAGAAT